CAGAAAAAGGACTGGAGATGACAGGTTTCAGACACATGGAAGACATTATGGACTTTGATGTTTTGGGGTAATTTGAGATGGGCAGAGCCTGTCAGAGACACAGCCCTGTGTCCTCACATACTGTGGGGGCCCAGTGAGGTAGTCCAGTATCCACTGGGACAGGTGGTGGTCCACTCCTGACAGCTTCAGCTTGTCCCTCAGAAGTCCAGGCTGGATGGTCTTAAAAGCACTGGCAAAATCAGAGTATGTCCAGGCTTCCCCAGGTGGGTCAGAGCTTGGTGCAGGAGGCACCTAGCTCACAAAGCCAGGCTGGTTGGTGAACTGCAGCGGATCCAACGAAGACCTCACCGTGGGGTGGAGATGTTTGAGGACCAGCCTCACGAGGGTCTTTAACAGATGCAAGGTCAGTGCTGACCTAAGCTATCAGTGTCATCCCCGTGAGGAACAGGGCTCTTCCAACACAGTGGAACTGAAACAGTCCCTCAGAAAGTCTTCAGACCATCAAATGCTTACCCTTGTCCAGCAGCCAGAAAGTGAACTTCAACAGGTAACCAAAGCAGTGATGAGCAGTCAGGCTTGTAACCTCCGTTCCCACCTGTTCATGTTTCTAAAGTAGAATCACTGCAGTCATCACTTTAAAGATTCATTCTGCTGGTTTTCATCTTTGCTTTGTGTCGTTGGCTTTGTGTTCATATATAAACACTGAAAGAAAGACTGTATGTTTGTTCTCATTACATTAGGGCTTAGATGTTGTGCAGAGCTGCAGCCTAAGATTTATATTGTTAACTGAAAGCCATGAGACAATGTGTTTCAGGCCATTTACAGAATGGTAAATGGTAAATGGCCTGTATTTGTATAGCACTTTACTAGTCCCTAAGGACCCCTAAGCGCTTTACACATTCAGTCATTCACCCATTCACACACACATTCACACACTGGTGATGGCAGCTACATTGTAGCCACAGCTGCCTTGGGGCGCACTGACAGAGGTGAGGCTGCCGGACACTGGCGCCACCGGGCCCTCTGAATAACTTTCTTGAGTGAGTAACTAAGTAATGTACTGTAATGTAATTGTAGTAACTCCATGGCGGACCGGTCCACAATTCAATGCTTTTCAGCATACTTTTATTGACTCGCTTCTATACACGGTTGTTGTTCCTGCACAGCTGCAGCTTTTCAGCCCCCAGCTGAACTTACAAACATCAACAACAACCACATTTAACAGTCACAGACTTTTACGCCGGTGAGGCGTGATTGCGGATGCTGCTCAGGTGCATCCGCCTTCCCTGCAGCGAAGGCCACCCGAGTGGCGAGCAGCGGCGACGCAGCACTCGCAACCTCCGTCTTCAGCTGCGCCGGTCTCTCGCACGCTTGGTCCTCCACCTCTGGCTGGGCAGGTGCGTGGCTGTTGCTCAACGGCCCTCCTCTGGGGAGCATGAACGGATGCCGACCCCTACCGGGCACCAGCCACTCCCACCCGAGGAGTGAGGATGGGTGCGCCACAATAATGTATTTCTGGGTTAAAAGGAAAACATGAATACACCATCTAATCAAAAAAGTAAACATTTCCAAATGTGAGAGGGTTTCTGTTAAGTTTGTGGCATCAGTATTGTGCAAACACAATTTAGTTTGCACTAAAAACGTCTCATAATCTTATTCTCAGTTTTATTTGAGAACACAACATCTGTCCGTACCAAGAGAATACATTCCTCAGAGCTATGTTTATTAAATCTTCAAAGCAATGCTCATACCATGTATTCTTAAAAGATCAAAAGATAATGAAAAACGCTGAAGAATAACCAACATAAATGAATTTACTCCATGACTGACACCAGCATTTTCCCAGGTGTCTTAACTTGTTATTTGGCTTCAGACTGTCCTCTGCCAATATCAGGAACAACCACAAACCACAAGCTTTTTTTTTATTTAGTCACATAATTGTTCTATTTATCATTCGTACTCGAATGGTTCTGTCATTACAAGCACGTGTGGGAAAAGTGAGTAATTTATGTGGAACATTCTTGAATATGCTGTGTTGGCAACAATCCTGCAGTCACAAGTTACAGACAATACGAAAGAACTGGCTCTTACATGTTTAAGGTACATTCCTCTGCCATAATGAGGAAAAGTGTCCAGATATAATTAATGTGGGGCCTGCCATCTGAATCCCATGTCGTTCAGATGGCAGGCAAGTACCTTGAATTACCACCGTATCCAAGTGCAGACCATTACTGGAACCGTGTAATGCAATCCCTGGATTTTAATTGCCAGTTAATCTCCAGTTAAAACACAAACTGCCTTATTTTGTTACTAAATGTTCCTAAGAGTGGCATATTGACAGAGATATAAAATTTGGTGGGAGTGAATTAAAGAATTCGCTGTTTCATTCGCATCAGTGTCATTGCCTCTAATTAATTGTTTTGATAGGCACGAGAGAAAAAAATGTGATTTTTAAAAACGTTTATTTCAAAAACCAGGCTGTAGGTGGTCAGTAATCTGTCATTCCACGGTACGTCTAAGACTGTGTTTATGCCATATAAACCATAATTAAGGCTGGGCAAAAAAACAACAAAGATTAGGAGATCTTTGTGGTCATGGTTAAAAACCAAGTCTGAAGTGTTTTTGACAAAACTCTTGTGTGC